GATTCAAAGGTGTACTTGTCAGGATGATGGCATCTATGAACATGAGCTACTGGTAGCCTTCACCTATGAGTCATGTTCGGCTAAATGAGAGCCATGTGGCTAAACCCTGAGCATGGCCACCTGCAGAACCTCTAATGCACATATTACAGAAGTCTGCTTCAGTTACAACACGAGATTTCATAGAGGATTTTACAAGACTTAAGAGAGGAAGAAAATCCAGGGGAAGAAACTTATTTTCTAGTGAATGAACAGAAGGAAAAGACAAAAAATAAAGTAGGAAAGCTCTATACATCTACCACTGAGCTGGGATCTTAGTTACATGACACTCCAATGAAAGAAAATGAGTAAGGGTTTATTTTGTGACTACCTGAGGCAATATATGTATTTATAGATAGAAGAAATTATATCTTTTTCTTGTTTCAATTAAAATATCCTTTTTTTTTTTTTTTTTTTTTTTTTTTTTTATAAATTAATGGCTTTTATGAAATAAATACCCTGGGTGGGTTGTTCTACTTAAGTTCCAATATGGCTTCAACAGAAAGAGTTAAGCAGGGCTTCCAAGCAGCAGAAGCTGATTCTATCCCACAGACAATTCCTTGCCTCAGGCTGGATGCTTTCCACGTAAGTATTTTAAGCACTGGGAATTTCCAGGAGAATTGCACATGCCCTGTCAATGTTAATACTATCTCAAGGATCATAAGAAGTCATTCTGAACTGGCTGACACACAAATGTCAGACCTCCCTAAGCCATCCAGAGGACACTGAGACTCAATTCTAAGGATTTCAATATATCAGTGTCATCTGATTAAGGGCAATGAAAACATTAACACATTATAATCAAGTACTAGGAAGTCAGTCTGTCCTGCAAAGAATTTAGGTATAGCTGTTTGCTCTTATATTTCACTAGTTAGATCTCCAGACTGTGGACCAACTGAAACCAGGTCATTCCTTGCACACACACTGCTCTCTCTTTAGATTCCCAAAACAAAGTTCTATTTTGGTATCCTAAGAGTCTGGATTAAATATAAATTATTGATAGTGTTACCTACAGTGAAGGTCTGCCCCAGTTTCAGCCACTGGTCTTAACTGCATCCTGGCAAACCTTAGAATAGCCAAAAAAGTCCACTCTATGGTACACACTTACCCTTAGCTCAAATCAGGCTAGTTTTTAAGTAAAAACAGGAGGTTTAAGTGGTATGCTTTAATTGGACCAGTATTTGTAAGGTTCTGTGCAGCTGTCTGCTAATAGCTAAATGGGGCCAAATTCACAGTGAAGGCAATAGCTTTAGCACTGATAATAATCTCTGCTGTCTGTGGTCTAAGTAACATCTCAGAGGCAGATGCACTCTCAGACAACTACAAAAAACACACAAAAAAATCACATAAATCCAAGAAAACAAACCACCAAACCTCTGAATACCAGAATTAAGAAGTTTGTTCTGCCTCTGACTGAAGAATTTACAGCTGAGGAAGTCTGAATGATATTGTCAGCCAGGTCTTAGAAAGTCCACACTGGAAAAAGAAATGCATTTCTTTCAGCCTGAATACTCTGTGTTTGCAGCACACAAGCATTTCACTGGGTATTTCTTCTATGAGAGGAATTTTTTTCTTCGTACAATAAATACACTGGGAGGCTCCTAAAACAGATCTCAGGGCTGTGCTTGGAGGATATAAATACCAACTTACTAAGGATGAAAGCCAAACATCACTGACTGGAAGCATCTTAAACTCTTCTTTTCTCCACGGTAGTTTTTAAAGGAGTACCAATAGTACCAAAACAGTGACCACTACAAAGAGAAAGTAACAATTTAAAGCAACTGCCCTGTCTTTTTCTTCTGCCATGGAATCATTAATGCCTGGGTACAAAAAGGTTTTATAACAGTAAATCACTGGTAATTTAACAGGGTACAATGCAATGTCAGATTTTAATCCAGAGGGGATGAAGGACAGATTCCTGCTCTTGAAAAACAGATAAGAAGAGACTGGTTTTCAGCATTTATTTTCCCAACTAGTGCAATATGCAAAGTTCTTAAACAAAAGTGACCTTTTTTTTTCCTTACTATCAACAGTGGCCAGCAGTTGTCCAAAAGTACAATAAGGTGCCCATCTCTTAATAAGCGCATTTCATAGGAGACTGCTGCATACGTGATAGCTTTTCCCAGAACAGACTCCACTGATAACACTTTTTTTTTATGTGAGCCCTGCAGTAACAATGTGGCCACAAGCTAAGTGGCTAAAATCAAACCTACATGACCTAAGTGTAAATTACCCTGTATTTTTAATGGATTTAGACTTTATGGAAGAATAAGGAAGGAAATCTGATCGTACTTGAACAGGGAGGAGTTAGGAGGTGACATCTCATTTGAGGTGACAGATTAATTCATCCTCTCAGAAGAAGGCCATTCTTGTATCAAATTAGATTTTCCTACATGCAGGAGTTTAACCAACTCCCACAATATCTGTTGACTAAAATATGACTGGATTTGTTGGGAGCCTGAGAAAAGTCTTCTCTGCTGAAATAGACCAGAAGAGCTTTAGATTAAGATAAGTCAACAAAATAGACTTCATTCTGTATCGGAAGAACTTTAGAGAACTTCTGTTGGGATAGTACAATTCTGCCTCTGTAGTTATGCCATGAAATATTTGTAAGCACAGCCAAGGCACTTGGAGGCACAGTGCTCTACAACATTGCCCCTGTTGTGACCATTTACATCTGTGCAAAATGGCATCAGCATTTCTAGATGTGGACAGTAGTGTTTTATGGTCACATTGCACTAATCCACATGATAAGACAAGATGTAAGGTAGTGCTGAACCAGGCAGGCCTGGGTAGTCTCATTTGGGGGAGTATCATGGTGAGTCCAAGAGTAGAGTTAAACAAACAGCTTTCTGGCAGTCATGCCAACATGTCCTCCACTTGCTCCACATTGCCCTATCTCTACAATACCCCTTTTCTGCTCTTGTTCTTGTAGACAGTGAATCAATGGGGCAGACTTTGTGCAGCTCTGCTGATTTCTCATAGTCTCACTTGAATACCAAGATCAATTTGCCTGATTGGGCTTAGCTTTATGTGAGATGAACAACGATGTACTAGACTGTGGAGTAAATTCCACCATTACAGTTTCATCTCTGAATTGGGTCTGACGTTGCATTGTACCCACTGGTGAAAGTGTGAAGGCAAAGATATCAAGACTGTCTCGAGTAAGGGACAGTATATGGTTAGCAGGGAACTGATACATCTCAGATGCCAAAAAAATGAGATGTTCTCTTGCTTGAGTTAGATCAGCTGGACTATGGCAGAATTAACTTGAGCTGCAGAAAGACATTATTGCCCTTCTTATCCACTCTTGCCTTTCTGTGGGGAACACGTCTTTACGCAGGACAATCATCAAAAGTTTTATTTCCGTGTAAAGTGCAGCATTTCAGATCAAACCATTGTTCATAAGCTGAACTGACATGCAGAGAATGCATGTCAGAAGTGTTTACTTCTGCCAACTCTAATGTGCAGGCAGTAACTTCTACCAGACTTGGAGAAGAGCAGCCTCCCGTGTGCCACTCCCTGTGCAAAACTATTCCCCTACCTGAAAACTGCACTTATGCCACTTACAGCATTAGGGAGAAATTTATGCCACTTCACTGGCATGTGTACAGTCATGCTCACAGTGGCTAGAAGAAATGAAGACATCAGAATTATTCATAACATTTTGAAAAAGAAAACATTCACTATAGGACTTCTTTAAAAAAAGCACATATACATCTAGTTGTGGTTTTTTTTTTTAATGATATGGGTTTTCTATAGTTGAAGGTGATATAAAGTTGAAATAGTGCAATTTTAAAACAAAATTAGTGCAGGAGTCAAACTACAACAAACAAAACTGAAGTTGTAGATTGTTTTTTAAAGTGGAAATATGTGACTATCTGGCTTCGAAAGAAAGCATATGGATCTGTTTTCAAAAGCACAGAAGTGCACCAAAGTGCTTTTGAAAGTCATAAATCCAGTCGTCTCTCAGTAAGATTTAAATTTTGTTTAGAAAATGAAATGAGGATGCTTTAAAAAAAAAATGTTTCTAATCTTAGCGCGGGATTTGAGTTTTGCTGTCAGATAATAATGACTAACAGGCTGCTATCAGTCAAAGAGATACCATCACGTTTAAAAGTGCATTTCTTATGTTAATGTTACAAGAGCAGGGAAGATAACTGGTGAAATATTTTCTTCTCATGTACATTTAAAAACCTTTTGTAACTCACTTAAAGAAGTGGATAACATCCTATTGTTCAGTCTTCACAACAGCAACATGAAAGGCAAATGGCTTTAAAATGGAAAATGTGTATTAAAGCATTATTATTGTCTAGAAAACATGGAAAAAAAGCTATGTGAAGTGCAATAACTTGTAATGCATTTTGTGAATGTTATTTGTTTTAAATTAATGCTGTCCATTTAAATCAAGAATACTCTGTGTGTTTGGGGAGCCCTTTCCTGTTGTCATTAACTCAGTGTTGAGCAAAAGGAATAGCTGATACTTATTAGAGTGGCTAAAAATAAAACTGAATAACTCCAAAGGTAAACTCCTTGCCACAATGAACACCATAAACATTTTGTCTTTTCACAGAGGCATCACATCAGCTTGAAAAAAAAGAGCAAAGGCAAAACTCAGAAATAGCTACACCTTGTTACAGAACTGCAGACATGAGAGGAAAAATGATGAAGACACATTAGCAGGTACACCTGTGCAATAATTACTGATTATTTTTTCTGTATCTGAGGTTTTGTCTTTCTTACTTTCCAAAGATCACTAAGAGAATGGCTGTGTTTAAAGGCATGTGTGGGAGTGAGTGTGCATCTGTGTCTGTTTTGTTCCACACACAGAGGTACACGCACACACACACACTTAACATCTTTCCACTGTTTTTTAATTTTAGTAACTCATTTAACCCAACTGGAAGTGAAGCTACAATTTCTTCTTGCTTTCAACATTATAAATATTCCCAATGCTATAAAATCTATTGTAAGAATGTACATTCAGTGACTTTATGAGGCACAGGACCTGCTATTGTATTTTCAGGGAAGCTCATGTGCGCTCTGTTCTGTCCAATGTTGGACAATGGTGGGGAATCCAGGGGCTCACGCTTGATCGCTTGAACCAAGCAAGGGTTTTTAAATTCACATGGCATTTTAAACACCTCATTACTCTGCTCCTTCTCCCCTGGAGCAGGGCTGTAGAATTGGCCATAGCCCTCGGCGTGCGGCAGGTCAGGCAGGCTTTCCAAGCAGGCGGAGGAGTTCTGGGGGCAAAACGGGGCCACCTCTCTGTTACGCAAACCCTTGCAAGATCTGTTCAGATTGAGGTTGCTGGGATGATTTGCTACAATGCACTGCCAGTTATGTGGTGTGTAGAGGCAGTGCCTTGGCTTCTGGCAAAGTGAAGCTTGCTGACAGAGGTCCGGTTCTGCTTTAAGGTGCACCCTATTGGGATAGCTGAACAACTGCTTCCTCATGGTGCCGTTCTCATCCAGCCAGGCTCGGTTTTGTGGCATCGGGTAGTTATCAGCAATGTTTTCAGAATCAGAATCGTATTCTGTTTTGATAGGCATATCCAAGGGAAACGATGCATCATAGAGAGACTCCGAGGATATTAACGATCTCTGCAGTTTCAGGTGGTCTGTAGTATAGTTCTCCACAGCACGCTGTTGTAAGCCTGAGTAAGACTGACAATTTTCTGCACTACCCCAGTGGGAAGGACAAGTTGATGCTAAATTTAAGAAACTTTGGTCCCTGTTGTAGAACGATCCAGCTCTTCGGTTTGAACACGCATTCATTCGCTGATTTATAGAACAAGAGCTTGAATTTCTGAAAGTCCAGCTACTGTTTGTGCTGCAGTTGTTTTGAACGCCTAAAATTGGTGCATTAGAACTGAGAGATTCCTCCTGCACGAAACACTCACCATTTGTATGAGGCTCAAACTTCACTTTTACATTATCTTGCTCATTTTTTACTGCTGTCCAGTTGAGATGCTTCAGTTGGCCCAGAGTTTCAATGGCACTGTTGTAGGAAAGTCCTTCCAGGTTTCCCTTCAAACTGGCAAAACTGTTCGGTATCTTCAGTTGTTCATCTTCATCCCTTTCAGTAACAGTAGGAAAAAAGAAAACATTCAGTAAAAGGTTTCTAAATTGACCTTTTCTATGATACAAATGGAGTAATTGGATATATATTACAAGCACTATTTTTTTCCTTAGTTTAGTACCTCATTTTCTTTTCCATATAAACTTTGCATTTGTCCAAGATAGAAAAAAAGAGTTTCCATGCATGTGAGCACCACTTTGTGCAAGACTACCTTTCTGTGGCACTCTGACATTTAAGTTACAACATACATTTAGTTGAGGCACAGAGTTCATAAGACTTTAAATACTGTAGTATTCTGTGTACTGTATGGTAACTACCTTACACTGTCATTCTTCTGTTAAAACGTATCTAATGGATGGGGTGCAAACAGCATGTTAAATGAGATGTATTTTGTTAGCAAGGAGTTATTAAGATGCCTAAGAACTTTCTCATCAAAGCAATTTGAGTATGAAACATGGGGGTCTTATATTTTGAGAATGCATAATTAGAGAGAGGAAACAAAATACCCAAATTAAGTGTCCAGAATAGTCACAGATGTTCATACTGGACACAGAGTTATTTTACATGTCCAGCTTAATTTGTTTTGTCTTTAATTTTCCAAGATGATCAGTGAATTAATTTTCCATGCCCTAACACTGAAGAACTCAACATTTTTTAAGAGTCCAGACAAAGAAAACTGCCTGAGCACTTTCGTACTCAGTGCAGCAGGTTTTTTTTAACTCCAAACTCCAACTTTGCTGGAATTTGCAAATGTGCTGCTTTGCAATCATGCAGAGTCTGTGCTATGAACCTGCACCCTCCTTGTCAGCATGAGAAGTGGACATTGCAGTAAGGAGCCAGGCATGACAAACTGGAGAGGTTTTCAGAAGACTTTTTTCTTGACTCGCTGTCAGAAACATTATCCTCGGGTATGGACTTAATGCGCAAGTATAGGAATTTCCAGTAGGGGGAGTTCGTGCTATTATAAAGAGAGAACTTCCCACAGTTACGAACATACAGCCAAGAACAGAGAGCATTTTCTTTCTACTTCTTTTTAAGTGTTCTGGGATGCAAGTTCGTTGCAGAATTACCTCTTGGGAAACGGTGTAATTGGGAAAATAGAGTGGAAAATATGCAAATAGTAGTAAAAGTTTAGATCACCAAATCAAGGATTTCACAGTGAAACAGTGAAATTTCTCGAAAGAAGGTATGTTTCCAGGAAGATAGCATGCATTTCAATAAAACAAAACAAGCCCACAGAACAAAACAAAAAAGTAGTGAGGGTAAAAAGAACAGGTAGAATCTACTGCACACTAGCAGGAGAACAGAACTGAGTATCATCTGTGAGGCCAACTCTAGCGATGCTTCAGCTTGTAGGAACTACTAAACAAAAAGGTAGATTTAAATGACTCAGAGTATAAAAATGTAACTAAGAAAGCATCAAAGAGCATGTTCAATTGCACAGAAAACAACGTAAAGTGGAGAGTTGAGTACAAGGAACAGCCACTCTTAATCTGTTTTGTTGAAGTTCATTACTTTGCATGGCAAGATGATGTTTGTGCCATCCCAGGAAAAGTAAAGAGGTGAGAGGTCCTCTCCTATTCAAAAGATCCCAAAGATATGCTGCCTGCAAGGCGTATCTACTCTAGAAATTCAAAGATTATTTTTCATTTATTTTTCCAGCTGCAAGGCATCCGAAAAGAAAAGAGCAGAGATACTGGTCACATGTTTTCCTCAGGACCAGGTGGTGGCTACGTAAATCTCCTGGCCCCTGCTCTTCCCTCAGACGGGTGTGAACTGGGACAGTCCCATGGTGGAAGGAGGAAAAGCCTATGCAGGAGGAAAGGGGAATATCCAATGGAGAATTCCTCTCCGAACACACATCTGCTGGGTATAGTTTTCACTCCAAGGCTGAGCCTACAGCCAGCTAGGTATAAGATCTACAAACATACAATAAATACGAACATTCCTGTTTGGATTGTGCTGAACAGCCACAACTGAAAACATAAGCTCAACTGTCATCCACAAAGACAAAAAAAATAACTTAACATTATCAAATATTGGGAAAAGCCAGGGCACTAAATCAACAGTTTCAGCTGTAATGTAAAACCAAACCCCAAGATACATTTTTGTGCAAGAAAGCCAAAACATATTAGGAACGAAAGAGCCTGGAGTACTTTTTTAATATGTATGTACACTCAACTTCAGAAGAAAGAAGACTGAAGAATGCAAACATATTCTTTAGGATTATAACAGCCTTCTCACATGATCTGGGACATAAATGGATTTTTATTTGTTAAATAAACTAAGTCCTCCTTATACACATATTTTCTTAGGATGCGACACCCATTTAAAGATCTCAGACATTAGGAATTCTAAAATATGGGGTTTTTTAGTATTGGAAAATATACTTACTTTAGCATTTGCTGTTGGGCAACAACATATTCTGAACAACCACTTCGATACAGAAGTTGAGTGTTAGCTTGAACCCAGACCCAGTGATCTTCATTTGTTTGTACTTTGACTAGAGAAATGCCATTTTCTCCATTATTCTTCGCTATGCAATTTAAAAGAAAGTATATTTTAATCCAAGCAGTTTTTAATATTTTTTTCTTAGCTTTTAAAAATTATTTTTATTTTTTACTGGTGAATGCCAACAGGTTTGCTGCCTTGGAATCATCATCAGCAGCAAAGTATGTACTAAAATATGTCACAGAACTGGGAAAACTACATGAAGAATAAAATTTGAAAAATCTAAGGTGGTGATTAGAACCACTTAAGCTGTAATGAAAGGTATTTCAGTATTATTATTTCATTAGCAGTTTCTCCCTCTCAATAGTATTCCTGTATCAGTGATAAAATATTAATGAAAAATGAGGCTGTAACAATGGTGTTAAAGAAGTTACAGGCTTTTGCAGGTACAACCAAAGGCTGACTACAATTCTACAGAAGAAGTTGCCCTTTGGAGAAGACTCACCATGAGAATTCTATCCATTGCAAAAATCTGAAATACAGCATAGATTCTCACAGTGTTGCAACACCCAAACACTGGGAAAGCGTGAGTCAAAGTCACAAGCAAATCTGAGTTCACAAGAGAATATATTTTTTTTCATTTTCCTTCTACTTTCTGATCTTTGGGGAAAACTAGCATCAATAATATATTTTCTAGTTTTCTTCACATAGGAAGAGATATGATTGTTATAAAGAAAAGAATAAAAAAGGGAGAAATGGGACTGACACCTGGAAAGCCTACCAGGTGAAAAGAAAAGGCAAGATTCTTTCTCCACAGGCTGTATATACACTAAAAGTACTTAGCATATATACCTTTGAATTGGTTTTCAGTAATCTGTAATACATTAGCAAAAGTTGCACCTTCATGATGACTATTTCTTCCATATAATTCTGCTGCTTCACACAGACCTGAATTACCTTTGGAACTGGAGCTGTAAGGGTCAGAAAATGGGGAAAATTCCTTGTCAGCAAATAACAACAAAGCAAAATTACAAACTCTGAAAGATGTGTGATTTTCAAGCTGTTGACCATTTTCAAAGATTGATGCTTTAAATATATAATAACCAACATTAAATAATCATCTATGTTTCATCATACAGTTGCTCAAACTGGAGTATGACTGGAATTCTGCATTCAATTCAAAGGAATAGTTATATTTAGGAGCATTCTGCTCATGGCTTACTATATGTGGAATAGTAAGTTCCAGCTTGAATTGAGACAAGCATTGTGTTCATTCTGCTCTGCTTGTCGTTCAAAGTACTTACTCACCAGCAGTGCACTTAAAGATTACCATGACTTCAGTCTGCAACAATCATGTGATTTAAATGGATTTCTTCCAATCTTTAGTTGGAAATATGTATCAAAGTTTGTAAATTCTGTAATAATCCTTTCCAAACTTTTGCCTTCGTTAAGACCATCAGACTAGAAATTGCTATATACATTTTCTGACCATCCTTGGACAGCATGATTTAAACCTGAACCAAATGAAACACTGAAGTGTTGGTTCTTTTTAAATATAAATAAAATAATAATAATACAAATGGGATAGGAAATATATTAATTTTTTTTTTTTTTTTTTTTTTTTTTTTGTCAAATCCTTAATCACTGCCCAGTTTTTCCGCTGTTACAGCTGGTAGAATGAAATATTTCTTTGATAACTTCCAAAGACTAGGAAGGAGAATCCAGATAAATGATGCTTATTTACTTTCTAAGAAAAAGTTAACATAGAGAGTCATTTAGCATCACTTGTACATTTAATAAACTGGAAGCTCGCAGTACATTTTACTAAATGCTATATGATTAATTTGAAAATACTTTGCATTCACTGCTGCATCATCAGCTTTGTGTTTTGTTTTCACAAGCAGGCTTTTCATCTTCATCTCTGTCACAGAAGGGAGAAGTAGTGGTACCACTATGCAGAATAAGGACAGCTGAGGTGGTAATACTGCTCCTGATGAGGACTTCTTCCTTTGTCCAAAAAGAAACTTCAGTTTGCCTTGAAACTGCATTGTCTGTTATATAAGAACACAACAGAATTATCTTACGCGTTTCATGTATAAACATTTTAAAAATGCCAGTAAGTATGCCACCTATTGAATAAGTAACAACAAAACCAGTTTTGAAACAGGGAGAAAAAAAAACAATTTTCTATCTCTCACTATTCCTCATTTTCTTTGCAAACCTGTCATTGTTAGAAGAAAAACCAAGATTGGTCTTTACTAAGCAAAGAAGTGATTTCTAGAAATAAGCCACTCTTAGCAAGAATATTCATAGCAAGAGTATTAAGAATGCAAAAGACTTTTTAATTTTTTTTTTTATTATTATTAAAGTGAAAAAGGAATCAAGTTTTATTCCTGTTCCTTTAAGTAACACTTTATGAATAAATGCTAATGACTGAAACTTAGTTTTGCCACGCTTGTGCAAACAGTGGGCAGATATTGTCCAAGAGAGCTTAAAACATAAACATTTATCAGTTCTTTCAACTTGAAATATTACAGCCTTTTCTTCCAACATTTTTTACACGTATTAATAAATGTCTTCAGTTGTTTCTTGTTAGAGTACAACAAGTGAAAAGCATATTCTATCTATGGCTGCAAGCAATCTATGCATGCTCCCCTATTTTTCATCTGAAGTAATTTAAATCTAGTGCATCATGACTACTGTTGTCTAAGTAAAATTAGACTTACAAGGAAGCCAGAAGTACTGTCCAACAAGCAGCGAACTCGACAGATGAAACAACGAGTTAAGAAGGAAGAATAATCTGTTGTTGTGCTGTCATTCTCTTGTGCTTTAAACAATTTACTGAGAATATATTCTTCTCCTGTCAACAACAATATGTATCAGATCACACTAGAAAAGAATAAAGCTGTTCTGTACCCACTTGAAAAGGAAATTGCTAAATGCTGTTTTATAGAGGGGTGAATATTTAACTGCATTATGTACAGGCATATCTGGAGATGCTCTACCAAACGAAAAAAGACAGGCTTTACGATGGGATTCAGGTGACTCTCTTCAAAAACTTTGCTTTACTTCCTGAATTTTTGTCGGTTTTAATGATGCAGAGTAGGGCAACAGATGTTACAGATTTTAATATCAGAGACTAGAGATTGTACATTAGAAAAAGCAACAAAATCAGGAAAAAAATGCTAATGCAAGAAAAACAAAAGCAAAAATAAAACAAATGAACAGTGGCTGATTAGCTAACGTTCAGCTGTTGCCTTCTCGGTTTTGAATGAAGCATTTGCCATTTTTGGACTACAGGTGCATAGCTTTTGAAACATTTATTTCCCAAAAGACACACACAAGTATACATACAGAAGAATGAACTCAGGAATTAAAATTCTCCACTGTGTATACTCAGGACAAAAAATTCAAATGTTTATAACTTTTATAGTTTGAAATACTCATGCACATTGTTCCATTTCTTTTCTGCATACTGCGTATAAAATTTTGCAAAATTCTTGTGATCTTTTCCCTTCAAAATACATTCTATCTATTAACTTTGGAATTCTATGAAAGTACATGACTCTGTTCCTAAAGAGAGACTTCATAAAAGTTGCTGCAGGATTTCTTCCAATTTCCCCCCCGCTCATCTGAAAAACTATTTCCTTATCTTCTGGTGGAATGCATACATTTAAATGGGATCCTACTTGTTCTTCTAAACACTCTGATTTATACAACTTCACGTGGGAAAACAAATGGCAGAAAGACACGTAGCCACTGTGGTACTGCATAGAACAATTTTGCATGTTTTTTATCTTTTCCTGTTATTGAGAGAAATACTCATGTCCTGATTAGTGTGAAGAAAAGACAGGTAGGATGAGCACTGATGTTGCTTATTCTGTCTTGATAAGAATATTCATAAGCACATTAGTCAGAGGAAGAAAAGGAAACATCAACATTCTAGGCTCAACAGTACACGGCAGCATGAAAAATCCAAAATCAGGGAGAAACATCATTTTGGGGATATTAACACTATAAGTAACACTACGCAGTGTTGCAGTGAAGAGTCTAACTTGACAAGGAACGGGCAATAGGTGGAGGGCTATTCTAATTGTACAGTGATGTGTACATTTCCAATTAACGCTATATAGTCCTACCTGTTTCTGTCTGTAGCTGCTGTCCAGACATCTGAGGTGGATTCATGGCCCAGTGCAGTTGTCTACAGAAATCCTGGCGATCGTCAACGTGAATGTAATCATATATGTTTTGGTGCATTACATCAGTCTGAAAGAATTACAACAAGCAACATTTAATCCCCAGGTTTAATGGGGCAGACTCTTGTATTTATTAGAATCATAGAATACTTGGGGTTGGAATGACCCCTGCTATGGGCAGTGACACCTTCTTCTAGACCAGGTTGCCTAAAACCCCATCCAACCTAACTCAAACACCGCCAGGTATGGGGCATCCACAGCTTCTCTGGGCAGCCTCCTCATTTTCACAGTAAAGAATTTGGGTTGCTATTTTCCAAAAAAATAATGACTGATGTAGGGAATTTTGAAAGCAAAGACTCACTGAGGAAAGTTACTTCAGAGGCCCCTGTTTTTCACATCTGCTTTTTGACTTAATATCCTCAGAAGATTATTTTTAATAGCATATTGCAAATGTGAATCATAAAAGTCCAACTGGCAGCCAGCTAGTAGTGTCCCACAGGGACTGATGCTGGGTCCAGCAATGTTTAATTTCTTGACAAATGGGTGATGGGATAGAGCACAGCCTCAAAAGGCCTGCTAAGGGTACCAATCAGGGAGAGCTGGACAGACCTTGACAGGCTGTAAAAATTAGTTGGCAGGAACCTCAGGAAGTTCAACAAAGGCAAAATCCTCTCTAATTTTGGGTTCTTCGGGAAAAGAAACCGAGGCTTGATAAAGTAAAAGAAATTGCAATAAGGCTGGTAAAGGGTAAAGTGGAAAAAAAATTGCAGTAAGGGTAGAACAGAGGGGCTGTAGGATCTCAAAACTTGACTAGATAAGTCCTGGAGCAACCTGATTCAACTGGACCAGATCTGAGGAGGAGGTTGGAGCAGACAAACTCCAGAGGGCCTTTCCAACTCATGAGCGTATTTACTCTGTGCAAGCAACCAGTCTAGAATAGCAGAACATTATACAAAAGGATGAATTTGATTTTACTAGCAAATCCTATTTCTGCCAACAAAAACTTTACAAAAGGAAATTGCATGCTATGACATTACAAAGAATTCCTCTTCAACTCTCCGATTAAAAAAAAAGTCTAAAATGGCATAGTAAAATAGTAATGCTGTATATCCAACCAGCAGTAGAAGAATAGGGCAAAACAACAAAGTGTTCTATGTTTTAGAAAGCCAGTTGGCAGGAATGACTGCAGGAAAGTCATTAGAAAGGCTGCAATATTAAGCATTCTATATATTTGCTAATATAGTTACCTGATGAAACCCTAGGTAGTCCACAATCGTTGATGATGCATAAAATATCATTCCATCTGCACTCACCACCAATGCAAAACCGTTCAGTGACTAAAGAAAGGAAAATAATGATCATCAGAAAATAAAGGGAAAAATGGGTCTAATAATTTAAATAACATTCTAGTTTAGTCTCCTTTTGATTTCAAATATGAACAAACATGAACATACAGTCTTTGTGACTGTAGAACTATAGAATATTATTTTCTAAGTGCAGAAGAAAAATAATAACATAAATGTAGCATGTTTTTGCTGGGTTTTTTTGTGTTTTTTTTCTTTTTGGTTGGTTGGTTGGTTTGGTTTGGTTTGGTTTTGGGGTTTGTTTTTGTTTTTGCAATTCAGAGTAAAATTTCTGGGATTTAGATGGTGGAAATGTTTTCAGTTTCATAGATTCACATAGATTCACATATGTTTTGCCAGCCAGACTAAGCTGTCAAAAATCTACCCAATCCTAGCATCCGGACTCCAGTAGCAAAAGAGTGCAACTGCTTCCTAGAGCAGTCTTCCTGCCACCCACAATTCAAGTACTTCCCTTGTCTTCAATAACTTTTGAAATAACCTTTGAATATTCCTGTCAAAGCCCAAACTATTTTAATAAATCTTGCTGATTTTGTCCAACTGCATTTTGAAACCACATGAACTTTTTTATACCCCTAAGCTGTTGCAACAGAGTAGTTTAACAGCTTAGTTTAAGGTAGAAAAACTTGAAAGAATTCTCTATCTCATTTTGTTTCATTGAGCCTGCTACTTTCTGCTGTTGCTTTACAACCTCTAGCTGTGTCACAAGAAGGGGCAGTGAAAAATTCTTTCCCCTTTACCTTTGCAATATGGAATGGATATGAAAAAAATCACTCTGTAAAGAAGTTGGACACCACATTTTTCTGTAGGCAGGTAGGGATTTTGTGCAAATTTAGTAAAGTAAGCTACTTTAATCATAAGTTTAACAGTTACATGCTTTATGTTGACTCACATTTTCAAGTAGAAATGTCTTGAATTTCATATATTTTTTGCTTGAAATATGCCTTATCTTTTTAGAAGTCTGATGATACAACAAAGTTCTAATCCAGTGTCTTGTACTAAAATCATTACTGATTGTCCAATAAGATACTTACTGATCTTACCGAGATTCTTAATATAATGAATACAAGGAACTAGAAAAAAATTTGGTTCCTTACAAACATTGCTGTAGTTTCCATACCTTTTCAGAAAGCTCTCTCTGAAATGAAATAATGAATAACAACCTGGAACATGCTTTTTGCAAAAGTTAGGGAGGCTAATTGCAATATAACTACATATTACATGACAATATTATTATCTATTTTGAATTTGAAATTAACATTAATTCACATGATTAAAATTAATAACATCTATCAAGTACTTCTTTTTGGTTATGGTTTAAAACATTCCATTCCATGATGCTTTGCATTTATATGCATTGAAATATACAGATAATGTAATAATTTCCAACAAGAAAATTAAACACATGTGTTCTTATAGTTATGGCTTTAAGGTTTGATGTGCATTTTGAGGTATGGTTATTTTCTTAAGCTTTCGTAAAAAGACAAACATGGAAAAACTGCAAAAAATGCAATCATTAAAATCGGGCAACAAATATTGCATTGATAGAGAACAATATTTAGTCTAGAAAAATGCTAAGTTAATGAATTCAGTGACGTAAGGAAAGCAACAAGAAAATAACTGAAATTAAAAGTAAGAATTAAATGAAATACATGACATGAACATTAACAATCATCACGCTGCCTGCAGTCCGACTAATTTTGCCTCTCCTCCCTTGATAAAGATTCACTGACATATTTTCATTCCAACAGGTTCACATTCCAAGGCAGATGAGATGATCCTATCCTGAGATGGTTTTCAGGTCTTTTGAGATTGCAGTAGAAACAGCTGCTGATGAAGTACTGCTCTGTTTTTATTATCCTTACTTCACCTTTCTCTCAATTTACAGTTGCTGTGATGAGTGTCTTAATCCTGAGCTAATCCTGAAGCCTGAAGCACAGTGGGAGCAAATTTTCAATTGCTCAGTTAGTAGATACACTACCATATTTTTTCTGAGTTTGGTTCTCTTTTGAGTTCCTAAATAAGGACCAGATTTCCAAGACTGCTTAAAGCCTGTTCCAACTGTGACAATGGTGGGCAGAATTTCAAGAGTTCAGCATACAATAGGCTGACCTCCTCAGAAGATTTGACCCCAACCATAAATGTGGAGCACCTTTGGAAACTTGGCCCAGTGGGGCCACATGTGGCCAGGAGCTCTGGGCCTTGACAAAGCTGTGAAATGGTGACTGGAAAAAGCTAGCAATCAGACAGCAATGGCTTACCTACATCTGGAAAAAGCAGTAACAGCATCCCTTTTGATCAAATGGATGTCAAGTATGAGTCAGCTGTAAGAACAGCCAAGGGCAAATTGTGCTCATCTCCAGGAGTGCTCCATCAATCTAGATCCCTTTCAGAATAAGCGATATCTTTGGCTAGTGGATTCACAAGTTATCCATGTCTACTCTTCAACCACAAGCTCTTGATGGCTTGGTGCTATTTTCTACTTCAAAAAAATTGTCCAAATTCATCCCAGGACATCACCACACAGAAATCAGCATGCCAAGATTTCTACGTATTCACATCTGTGCCTTTCAGTGTTCGGAGTGAAGCCTCCAAAGACAGTATCTGTCATACCCATTTCCAATATCAAGTGGAGACAAGAAAGCATTTTTGGCATCTTGTCCCTTTGGACTCATCTTCACAGCAATGAAACCATCAGTGATGTGATGTTAGGAATTTCATTACATTTTGAACATCTGGCAGGCCTTTTAATTTGGGCAGACTAAAAATTTCCATAAAGATAACCATAGGACAATTAACAGACCTCCTTTGTGCAGATGCCTGTAGCTGTTACCATGCAGTTTCCAAAAGACCTCCAGTTTAGCCTGCACAGCTAGAAATTAAGAACACGTAGAACATATGCACATGGACCCTAAGAGACTTGCTTTAAAATGTAAAACTTGTTTCCCTCCAGTGGAATGTGGGCAGGTTATTCTTTTCACAAGTCTTTCTTTCATTAAGCCAGAATTAGGCTGGACCAGGTTTGTAAATATGGGAACGGGAAATGGGATCATGTGTATTTCTAAGAGTTCAGAACAATGAAGTGGGAACTGCATCTGGAGAGGTGTTAAGGAAGGGTGGGAAGGAGTAAAAGGAAAGAAGTGGAAGAAAGGTCCAAGGAGCCATGTATCAAGGTTAAATCAGAAATGAGTATGGATTTGAGGAGGGATATAAATTAAGAAAGTCATAGATTTTCCCGTTGTTTTTGTTTTGCTTCTCAAAATGCTGATTTCCTTTTCTGAGCTAAGATCTCTCAATTACGCATCTCCTGGTTTCTGATTTTCGTGGCCCAAATACAGACATCAGATGCTCTGCCTTGCAGGCAGGAAAAGCATAACCCACTCTGGTGCAAAAACAATTTTTACGAAGCCACATGAAGCTATTGAAGATTAACACAACTTCCATGTGCCTAAACCTCATTTTAGCTGGGAAACCTGCTGCTTCAACCACAGTAAAAAAATAAGTTAAAAAAAAAGCTGGACATGGAGTAGAACTTCCTATCCAATGAGTTACCCGTGACTCCAAATGTTTTCTTAATATTACCTTTAAGTGCTGTTCAGTGTGAAATCTGGCATCTGTAGCACAGACAGACTGGAATAGAATGAGAATCGGGCTGAGATTCATACTTTTGTGACCTACTGGCTGTGGCTGTGGAAAAGGAGAAGGGCATTTGCTAGCACAGGTCTACCCAGATGTGGGTCGTAATGATTGCAAATTAGTAGGAAAATACCTGTTCTGATCTCTCAAAGAAATCTCTTAGGTATGATATAGAAGTCCATACTCAAGCTCTTTACAGGAACACCACATGGAGATTTTGCATTATTCTGGACAGAACGCTGATGGTTTGTTGAACTGACTGCAAGGCATAGACAGCTTCAATGTATGATAATGAACAGAAACTATTCAAAGCTTTTTGGGTGTAAGTTATCAGGTCTCATAATTAACGGGACAATGAAATGTACAGCTCTGTTCATGGTTTTAGACATTCTCAGTTTCTGAACTGAAGTTCTGGGCCTTGGCAATACCTTTTCCTCATTCCCGCTGTGTGGGGGACTGCACTGAGGTGCTGTGTCAAAAACAGCAGATACCTACCTGTATTATCAGTAACCTGGGAGGAGGAAAAGGGATGGAAAGAGGACTTGGATCAGCCTCACACTGCAGCTCACTCTGCCTAACATGCGAAGACCTGGCCAGGCAGCCAGAAATCTGCCTACCGAAGTGCTTCTTAATGCTCTGTAAAGAGCATCTGCTTGCCCAAAACACAGACAGGACAGCACAGAGAAGTCAAGAGCAGCTCTCCCCACCTTGGCTTATTCCTTTGAGCATAAATAATGGAAAACTTAAAGCAGGGCTCATGGATTTTAGGGGAGAAAATAACCTAGCCCCCTACTTCAATGTTATTTTCATTGCGTGCAACTGGTGTGTTTTAATTAATAAGGTTCACTTGCATCCTTCAATAATTGGTAGCCATTTGCATATATTTGTGCGCACGAACACAAGCATGCACGCACACGCAAAGACATTAGTGCAGACAGTGGAACTCCTGCAACAGAAACCAACTAACTTCTAATCTGCAAAAAGGCATAGCTGTAAACTGCCATTTGGTAAACCATATGGATCCAATGACAGATGGAATTTCTAATCCAGAATAATAGCTGAAACATGTGAGACAGACTTAAATATGCATTGTGAACATTTGTTTGTTTGTATTTGGCTTTTTAAAAACACTTACATGAGTTTTCTACATTGTGCTTAGAAATGAAATCACTCCTTTTTTCCAAGTGGGGAAAAAAAAAAAGAAAAAAAAAAAAAAGAGCTTGGCACCAGACAGAGGCCTGTGTTCTTTTGAAAACATGTACATCCAATTATGTACTCACGAAAAGCCGCACCTGCTACTGAAACAAAAAACAATGAATCTGTCAGTTCAAAGAAAGTAC